TCACAGAATTAAGAGAAACAAATCCAAAAATACATATGGAGGCATAAAAGATCCTCAAGTAATTCTAGGTAATGAGTACTTCTGGGGGTATGTAACATACTTCAAATAATACTATAGGTCCACAGCTACAAAAATAGCTTGATACTTGCACAAAAACAGATCTAAAGACCAACGGGACAATATAGAGCATCCAGAAATAAAAGTACACAGCTTCAGCTAGCTAGTTTTGGCTCCTTTTGACAAAAAATAAAATGGGGGAAAAACAGACTCTTTAACAAATAGTGTTGGGAATCCACCTGTGGGAAACTGGCCCTATATTTCTAACCCTGTATAAAAATGAACTCTAGTTATATCAAAAAGCTGAAAGTAACACAGGAAGTTTATAGCTACTATAAGATAGCAGGAAAAACTCTGGAAGATGTGGGCATAGGTAAATTTTAGGATAGAACTAAAAATTGACTAATGGGACTACATCAAATTAAAGAGTTTCTACACAGCAAAAGAAGCAGTCAGTAAAACCAACAGAAAACCCACAGAATAGAAGAAAATCTTTGCCAGATATTCAACAGATAAAGGATGAATATCCAGAATATGCAAGAAACTAAAAAAACTTAAACAATAAGAGAACAATCCAATTAATAAGTCAGCAAGTGAAATGAACCAACAGTTCTCATAAGAACCACAAAAGGCTTATAGATCTATTAAGAAATAGCTGGGCACCAGTGGCTCATACCTACCTATGCAGCAGGCTGAGATTTGAGGATTGATGTTGGAAGCCAGCCTACTAACCTTAGCAAAAGGAGCTCAGGGACAGCCTCCAGGCCCACAGTTCAAACACCAGGACTGGCTCCCACCAAAAAACTAAACTAAAATAAATGGCCAGCCTCCTTAGCCATAAAGGAAATTCAAATCAGAACCAGACTAAGATTCCAATTACCCTAATCAGAAGGGCAGCTATCAGAAAACAACAACCAGGAATTTTTATACACTGTTGGTGGAGGTCAGTATGGAGGTTCATCAAGAGAACAAATACAGACATTCCCAATGAATCTGCCATACCACTCTTGGGACTATATCCAAAGGAGAGTAAATTAATATGTAAGAAAGACATCTGCATGAATATGTTTATTGAAGCACTGTCTATAATAGCCAAATGATGGACTCAGCCAACGTACCCTAGAACAGATGGGTAAAGAAAATATGGTGTACACACACACACACACACACACACACACACACGTGCACACGCACACGCACACATCCATACCATGGAATATTGCAAAGCAGCAAAGAAAAATGAAATCATGTCATTTACAGAAAAGTGGATGCAATTAGAGAAACAAGCCAAGCTCAAAATAATATCATATGTTTTCACTCATATGTGGAAGCTTGACCTAAAAGATATACATATTCTTGGACATGTTCGTACATACATATCCATTTACATAAGTATATGTGGATAAACACAGAACATGAATCTAAGGGATTACTTAGGAGGAAACAGGAAAGGGAAGGGAAAAATAATAGAGGGTGAGTAAATTTGAAATACATTTTGAAAGAGGATGAACAGAGGATCAAAATAGAGTGTTTTCAACTATGAAAGTCGAATGAGAAAACCTGCTGAAATTGTTTTGGGAAGAGGGGAAGAGAAAGTCATAGATTGGATTGGAACATATTGTAAACATGTGTGGAAATGTCACTATGAAGCCTCCCTCTTTATAACTAATGTAAGCTAATAAAAAAAAATAAGATCCAAAAATAAAGGCCCAGTGTGAGAGCCTGAAGTCTGCTTTTCCCTACTATGTACCTCTGGCTAGAAGACTGGGGGCTTCTCCCTCACAGGACTATCCCATTGGCTTCTAGGTCCATATGGGAGAGTTGAATGCTGGCACAGTCCATTTGGATGTGTTGCCCTCAAAGCATCAGCTTCAAGACTTTTAATGGGTTTTATCACAGGGCCAGGAACTAAGCCTAGGTGAACAGGAATTCATTGATCTGGGGGTGTTTTCTTGGGATGAAGATTTAATGCCCTGGGCAAGAAATCTAGCTAGGTGTTTCTGAGAGGTAGGTATAAGAAAGTGATAGGTAGGCAAAGGCTGAGCCTGAGCTGGCAGAAAGCAGAGGAAGCAGGGACGGAGGTAGAGGAGGGGGGCCATAGTGGAATGAATGTACCACCTGAGTCCAGGAGACTAGCAGAGCATACTGTTTAACCAGATTGCCAAAAGGACTGTCCTTGTTAGGAGTTTCTGCAGATGGGATAGGTCAGCAGGAAAGTACATCACAGAGCTGGGACACCATGGGCTCTAGGGGGCGGGGCTCTGAATAGCTTAAATGCTCTGTGTTTAAGTTTAGGCATTCTAGGGGAAATGACCCTCAGAGTAAACAGAGGGACACAGACTGGGTAGGCAGAGCTCAGGGCAGGGAGGAGCTGCTCTCAGGTTCATAGGTTCCATGTCTGACCTCGGAATTCACAAATCTGGAGAAGATTATATATATATATATATATATATATATAATATATATAATATATATATAATATATATATATATATATATAAATATATATATATTTTTTGTTGTTGTTGTTGTTGGTTGTGGGGCTTGAACTCTGGGCCTGGGCACTGTCCCTCAGCTCTTCAGCTCAAGGCGAGCGCTCTACCACTTGAGCTACAGCGCCACTTCTGGTTTTCTGGTAGTTTATTGGAGATAAGAGTCTCACGGTCTCTCCTGCCCGGGCTGGCTTTGAACTGCGATCCTCAGATCTCAGCCTCCTGAGTAGCTAGGATTACAGGCGTGAGCCACCAGCGCCCGGCAGAAGATTATATTTTTAACAGAAGGCATCTCCCACTACTGAGGTGGGTCATAGGGAAGTGCACCACAGTCTTTCCTGAACAATAAACTGTTTGGTATAACTGCAACTCCTGCCTGCAGCCATTTGTAATGGGAAAGCAGAAGGAAGCCATGAGCCAACTGCTGTATTGGAAGGAGAGGTGGCCTCCTGCATGTGAGGCTGGTGATGCATTGAGCATAATATCCCTGAAAAAGGGACAATTTATCCTATTAGTTTGAACAGATGAAAAAACCTGATGCTCAAGAGATGAAAGTTGTTTAAAGAATAAGAATGGACCTCAATATAGTTTTGAGAAAGGGCAGGAGAGACAGCATAAGACACTTGATAGCCATGCTTTTCTAGATTATAGCCTTTTCCAGATCATGTGATTTTCTCCACAAATGTTTTCCTTTAGGGTCTTGAGGGCCAAAGATTATCTATATTTACAACCCCGAATGTTCCCCCTGTTGTGCTATTCTGCTAGGAGCTCAGGATAGGCTAGGGTATTTTCTCCTTTCGTGTTCAAAGTAGACTTGAGATGTCATCGCTGGGCTCTTGCATTGCTAGGGCATGAACCTGAGGAGAAGAGCCTCTCCTATTCTCTCACTCAATAGAAACTCCAAGCTCACAGGGACAGAACTGGGATCTGTAACACTGTAACACTGCTGTTACTGTCTGTGTGCCTGGGGCTGTCACCCAATGGCCATAAGCAAACAGAGAGGGCAGTAGGTGCAACAAGAGGGAGGCAGGTTTGCCTGTCACACTATGGCTTGTTTCTTTTATTCCCCAGAGATTCATCCTGGCTACTCAAGGATCTGCTCAACTGTCCTATCTAGTCCCATGACCTACTTTTGAGCTGAATGAAACACCACATGAAGCTGAGATGTGTTTTTTGTTGTTGCTGGTGGTAGTGGGGGTGGACTTGAACTCAGGACCTGAGTGTTGTCCCTGAGCTTTTTCACTCAAGGTGAACACTCTATCACTTCAAGCCACAGCACCACTTCTAATTTTCTGGTGTTTAATTGGAGGTAAGAGTCTTACAGACTTTCCTGCCTAAGTTAGCTTTAAACTATGATCCTCAGATCTCAGCCTCCTGAATAGCTAGGATTACAAGTGTGAGCCACTGGCACCTGGATTAAGATGGTTTTGACACAACAACCTAGAAACACTGGAACAACTGTCTAGAAACAGTGCCATCTCAGGTGGGCGATGGCAGCATTAACGAACTCTTGGTCAACCTTTCCTATGATTCATGTGGTAGGAATTGGGGGGCAATATATAGCTCTACTGTTCTTCCAAGTAGGAATACTGGAGACTTGAATACATTGTCCTCAAGTTCTGGCTGAAACAGTCCTTTCCTGAGATTCCAAGAGTGGCACTAACTTGGGATAATTGTCTTCTATCTTTCCCTCTCCTAATGTGAACATGTTACTGCTGACTTTGCCTCTCAGAGGTGTGCAATTTACCTGAGTCAGTTAATTGAGTTCCCCAGGCCTCTATTTCCACAATATAGAAGTAATGAAAGAAGCTCTATAGGCTATTATGGTGGTTAAATGGCAATATGCACGTCAAGTCTCCAGAACTGAGCCCCACACAGAGCAGATGCTCAGCAGTAGTTGCCATCATCATCATAAGGGCACATTCCCTGTGCCTCATTCACCACCACTACCACTGTCTAATAATACACAGTCTGGAGGAGAAAAGAAGTGCTCTAAAATTATTCCCAGAGCCACCTTGCTTATAAGGCCACCACCCAGAATCTCTGTAGGCACAGAGAAATCAACCTTACAACTACAAAAGCCAAAAGGTGAATGAACACAACAGAACCCAAGAGTACAGCTGCAGTGATTAGAGAACTATATTACAGGCTAAATCAAAGCTGATTTAAATGAGCAAGCAGATGCTTAGCGAGAGGGCTCAGGCAGTGGGAGGACAGTGGAACTGGAAAGGAAAGTATGCTTCCAATATACGTCTAATATTTGGAAATCTCTCTTACATAGGCTCAAAAAGTTCAATGTAGGGACAGAAGAGTTGTTGTAGAGGAAAGAGCTATTTTGCACTAGCCAGTAAGTATGCAGCAAGTATGAGCCATTCCTAAGCACCCTTTGTAAGCGAAGCCAGTGTCAGAAAGGAGGCTACTATTGCATAACACATCTCCCATGGTGGCTTACTTGTTGCTGTCTTTGTATTCATAGATATGACATCCTTGAGGCAATCCAGTCTCGTGGTTGACGGTGAAAGCAAGTTTTAGCTGAACAAAGAGAGAAGAGAAAAACAGTGAATTTTAGGCAGCACATTCTACTCATTCTAACAGATGAAATGAACAAAGAACTAAACAAAATCAACTTCCTCTAGCATACATGTTCCTCTCTGGGAACTGCCCACCTGCAGGAACTCTACTATCAACAAGGACTGTTCATCCTGCAGGTATTCATGGAGTGCTCCTTTGGGCTTTTCACTGTGCTAGTTGTAGCAGCAAGGGGCTGTCTTCATGAAGCTTGTAGTCTGGTAGAGGAGCCATCTAACCACATTAAGGAACATGACACATATAGAGGTAAAACTTCATATTAACGAAGATTTCCTGAAGCATGAAAGGAGTTTCCTGTGTTTCTAAGAAAAACTACATCGAGTGGGATTTGGGGATGAAGGAATACATAAATTGTTAGTGGAGGAAGCAAAGTGAGTTCTACTGTGCACAGCATATACAAGAGTCCTAGGGCAGGAGCTGTATCAACTGAGGGAATGGTTGGTGATGTTGGACCCCAATAGAGAAAGGGGACACAGTGAGCTGTGACTTTAGGGAGGAAGGCCAGGTTGAAGAGGCAGAATCTTTGTGGCCATACTGAAAAATTTGGCCTTTACCATAACAGCAAAGCAGAGTTCCTGCTTTTAGAAAGGGATGGATGGTGGCATCAGAGTTCTGTGCTGTAAGACACCCCTTCTCCCTGTCTACGTTGTAGACAGAAGCCTGCTGGGGCTGGGGACTGCTGCCGGAGTTGAGTGGTGAGGGTGGTGGGAGTGGTGAGGGGGATGAACTACAAGGATGCCAGGCAAGATGGACAGAAGGGGACAATTGGACGTCGATAGTAGGAGGAAGTTGTTAGGAGTAAAAGATAGGTTTGATGCTGGCAAAGGAGTGGATAGAAATTTGGGATGGCTCATGATTTTGATCTAAACAACCAAGCAAGTGGTCATTCCATGGCTGAGAGGGGAGACTGTAGGTGTGGTTTTAGACATGTGGTTAGGGAAGATGAGGACAGCAACCCTGGGGAAGTCCTGGTTCTTTCTGGACTCTGGTGGGAGGTCCTTAAGTAAGCACCCAGTCCACAGAGCTCAGAAAGGCTCCTGGTCTTTCTAGGGCCAAGAGCCAATTATTATCTTTAATGAATTTGTAAATTATAAATCACCAAAGTAATTTTTCTTTTTTTGGTCCGGTTGTGGGGCCTGAACTCTGGGCCTGGGCGCTGTCCCTCAGCTCTTCAGCTCAAGGCTAGCGCTCTACCACTTGAGCCACAGCGCCACTTCCGGCTTTTTTCTTTTTGCTTATGTGGTGCTGAGGAATCGAACCCAGGGCCTCAGGCATGCAAGGCAAGCACTCTACCACTGAGCCACCTTCCCAGCCCTCACCAAAGTAATTTATATCACCAACTTTTACATTTCCTAAGTAATTTTAACCAAAATTAACCATACTAGGAGGATACATTATTTTTTTAACTGCAGGGCTATTTACATAGCTAATGATCTGCATCATTAGATGCTGGACAAATTCTTTTCCTCAGAGGGGAACAAGCCTCTCAAGAGTAGATTGTCCTCTTACTGACCCAGATGAACATTCAAAACCAGAAACAAACCCTTCTTTACACATGAAGCCAGAAGCTTCAAGGCACAGACATGCTTTCCCTACAGAGCACTGCCTGGCCTTTCTCAGCCCTAAGTAAAACAACACACACACACACACTAATCACTTTAAAAAATTCTATCAATTACAACTACATCCTTTTCTTTTTGTAGCTGAGGTTAGGCCTATATTTCAAGTCTACATTGGTTAGAATTTTTTGTATCTTTTTACTCAATGTTTTCTTTGCTTTCTTTTCTTTTGAAGTACTGGGGTTCAAATGCAGGGCCTTGTGCTTGTGCTCATTAGGCGCTCTTCCACTTCAGCTACACCCTCAGCCACATGATGTTATAAGTTATAGATTTATAGCTTAGAAAAATTACCAGAAATGTAGGGGAAAAAACCTTAATTTGTAAAAATTGTTGCCTCATATTACTTATTGGAAGGACTAAAAGATCAGCAAAGGCAGAAGGTTAAATAAGCTCCACTCCAGTCACATGTGGAATAGCATACAGTCATTAAACTGCTCAGGAACATATTTGGGGTGGTTGGATACAGACGGCTCTGTGCTTGATTATACACCCTGAGAACCGTGTGAAAAAGAACAAGGTTGCATAAAAGAAGGGTTGGGAGGCTCCAGTGATTCTTTAGTATCTGCACTTTCCAGATCCTTCAGGATAGGCCTGTGCTACTTTGACTAATACCTCCTTCTTTGCTTTGTTTTATGGCTAGTGAGTAACATTCTTATATAATTCTAAGTTTTTCTGGCTTTTCTGGATGTTTGGTCCCTGGTTTCAGTACAGCTGGTCTTCACTGAGTGCCTGCCTGCCTGCCTGGCCACTGCACCAAGAGTACAGCATCCAGCTTCCCATCTAATTCCCAAGTGCACTTCCTTCTTCCTTTATAAAGGGGGCACTGGAGCCTCTGGGCTGCTCAGGTTGCAAAGGTGATACATTGGCAGGGCAGGCTGCATGCAGGTGTGTGGACTTCATGTGATCAGAAGGAAGTCACGACAGATTTCAGAGCAGAAGACAGCTCACTTTAATGGTCACATAGAGAACGGGCTGAGATGAGAGTCTCCTTCCTGGGAGGCCATTATGGTGGAACAATGAGAAGGTAAGATTTGGACCTCCCACAGGGATGTGGGCGGGATATAGCAGGAATGGGAGGAAGCGAAGAAACAAGCCTGACAAGACCAGAAATACACACATGTGGAGCCACATGACATCCAGAATCTACCTCCCAGCCCTGACTTCTCATGACTAGGTGAAAAATGAGGGATGATACAGAAGCTGTGGTCTGCATCATGAAGCCATGGTAGTTTCCAGAGGATTCCCAACATCAGGAAACTCCACACACACCAATTCATCAATACAGGTGGTGAATGGTGATGGGAAGGGAAAGGAGCACACTCAGAGTTAAAGAATGGAGAACTCCTAGTTATCAAATGCCTACAAAGTAACATGAAGGCCACATGAAGGCGGCATTACTATTTCCTTTTCATAGATGAGGCTCTTGGGGTTGAGAAAGATTAAGTAATTTAGCTGGGCATGATGGCAAAAACCTGTAGTCCCAGAACTCAGGAAAGCAGATGTAGGAGGATGGAGAGTTATAGGCCAGCATGGGCTATACAAGTGGGTGCAGGGGACGGGGGTGGGAGGAGAGGGATGTTGAATAATTTTTTCACACTAGAATTTTTTCACATTAGAACCAGAATTTCAACCTAAGTCTGATACACAATGGAAGATTCCTCCCGTAGTAGGCAAGAAGCTGTCTGGGGATGCAGATATGTCTGCAGGTTGGACAAGGAGGATCTGGAATGTTCCTGAGTAATTTTTGTTCTTTCCTGAGAACTATTAAGAGGCTAAACTGTCTACAAGGGATGCAGAGTTTGGTGAAAGAAAAAGTGGAAATTTGAGGAAAGTGATGAGGGTTTGAAATTGCTTCTTTGGAAAATAGGAAAAGCAGCTGGACAAGAAAGGGCAAAGGACCACCAGGGAGCATTAAGGATCCACCTGGAGTATTTAGGATGTGAAGTTACTGTAGCAACTCTGTGCCTGTTGTTGATTTTTTTTTCTAGCAATCTAGGCATTGGCATGATGGAAGTCAGGTTGGTTGTAAGCCGAATATCTGCCAGGAAAGTTTGAGGAAGAATAATGGGGCTGGGAGTGGTGATATGACATAGCAACAGTTGGACATGGATAGACCAGGGAACCTAAGGGAGGATGGAAGGGGCTAACTGGAAGAAAAGAGATGGGTGACAGATGTTCTGCATGGAGCTGATATTTATTGAATATGTCTCCCCTAAGCTTCTTTTATGTGTGATTTTACTGAATCATCCCACTAGCCTTGTGTGGTCAGTTCCTAGGTTTAGACTGATTTAATAAGTATTTGACTCAAATTGGCAGAACTGAGTTGAGGACCGTTCTCTGTACCACTGGCCTATCCTGGCTTCCTAGGCCAGTGAATTTGAGGTAAGGAACCAGGACAACTGTAGGGACTAGAGGCTGTGGTCAGACAGCAGGGTGTGTGTCTGATCTTGGAGAGGGTACTCAGTCACAAGATCCAAGAGGAAGCCAAGGAAATGGAGAGCTAGAATGGAAGGTGTATGGGAGGGATGGTGGAGAGATCTTCCAAGAAGCTCTGAAATGCTGGTGACATGCTACTTCCAGATAAATCGAACTAGAAAGCATGTCCCTACATGTGTGAATATATTCATGGAGGACTACTGTGTGTAAACTTTAATTCATGAGTGAATGAGTCCACTGTAACAGATACTGTTACAGTGAAGAACTAGCAGCAGACATTTCCTCTTTCCCAACAGTATCTCAGTTTTACTAAACTATTTACACATATCCCCTGTCTTTGGCCCAGGGTCCCCCAGAGGGAAGACAAAATCTCTAGTTCTAGACTTTAGATGTCAGAGAGCCGTGGGAAGCCCAGATGCTTGAAGTTCAAGCCTAGGAACTGGTTCAGGTAAGAATGTGCAACCTAAGGCCCAAAGGCTAAGATGCTTAGCACCTCTTGGCAGGAGGGCCAGTGTTGCGGCAATCAGCACACTCCAGGGCTGAGAGCAGAGGACTCTAAGGGGAAGTGCGACAAAAGACCTGCAGCAGAGGACAGCCAGCCTCAATGATGGCATCCTGCTTACAGCCTTCATGCCAGCCATTCTCTTCCAAGTGCTCAATGTTTGAACAACATTGACACAAAGTCCATCTGTGCCATTGGCTCTCCTCTTCTCCTAACCCACTCTTACCATGGGGCTAAGTTACTTTTCTAGAATACAAACCTGAGGACACTTTCCTCTTTCAGTTCCTTAGCTGGAGACATAGCGATGCTAACCACAGCCCAGGCCTTCTGGAGTTCAGCTGCTTTGCATGAACAAATCTAGACTAAAGCAGGGTGATGAGGTAGTT